CGTAGTTTAGCCAGTGTTGAACAAAACCGCATTCTGAGCCATTTTTCAATTTGCCCAACGGTTTTATCTAAACTCCGTTTATTGTGAAGTGTTTTATGAAAGCATATAGAGTAGATTAGAAAAACATTTATCTTCTTAAAATATCGCACTAAGGAAGAGATTCTGGAGGTCCAAAGATTTGTTAAACCCCGGCTTAAATTAAACTTTGCTTAAATAACCGACCCATAATTTTTTCAACCAGGTTTGGATGCTCCACCCAGCAGCTGGGTCATTATGCCGCATGACAGAGGTTTATCGTTGCTAGTGGCAATTGATAATCTGTTGTACCTTACAGAAAAGGGACAGTGTAATAGACTGGTGAGCTGTAGTATACAGTAGAACTGTTATCGTCAGTGATACAATCACTTATAATTCAATCCATTTAAGATATCTCTATGCTCGAGACATGCTTTTTTGTAAAGTTCCCGTCTTTTTACAACATCTGCTTTTCGTGCAGTTTCAGGATTTGAAGAAAAGTGTATCTAGCAGATATTCGCACACCGATTGCAACTCAGCAACGGTGGCGAAAACGTCTCTTAAAAGAGAATTCGCGTTGCGTGAAACTTCACGGCGATGAATCCAACTCGCATAATTTGTCAAATGCAGGGGAGTCCTGGACTTGTCTAGGAGTTGAATTCTTAGGCCCTGTTTACATGGAGATGGGGGACCCCAGATAGGTGAGGTAACATGCGGTGGGTCACCCCACCTATCACGTAAACATGTTCAAATTAAAATGAGAGATTATAATTATGGACAGGCAGGTTACCCCACCTAAGCGAAAAAGAGAAAAATTGATCATCGTGTTCATGTTTTCCATAAAACGCGAAATTATTTCGCTGTTCACATGGAACTTTGAACGGCTATGCGTCTGAATTTTCGTACGGTTAAGGTGATGTTATACGAGACGATACGCCGCAACACAGCGTTGCAATGTTGGAACAATGTTGCAACCATTCGAAACAATATCGCAACAATGTTGCAACGCCGTGTTACAGCTTGTGCTGAAAAACGTTGTTGCAAATCGTCTCATGTAACATCACATTTAAGGCAGTTTCGAGTGAACGGTGGAAAATTCGCCCGGTTGCCTTTTTGACTTTCTCTTTGCTTTCGCTGTCTCGACATCGTAAACTTCCTCTTGAGTGCCAAGTGAAAGACAGGTTGCTACTTTTTACCAATCGTGAATCAGGCACAGGGCGTAGCGAAGCAGTGGGTGCAGGGAGAAGGAAGGAACAGAGGGGAAAAAATAGAGAAGTGTGTTGAGATGTCGCAATGAGAATATTGTACATCTCTGGCTTTATCAGTGTCACAACTTAAAATATAAAATAGGGAAGTCTTGATCGTTTATAATGTTGACAAATTTTTCCCCGAACTCGCACAAGTCAGTATGCTCGCCGGCTACAGTTGTTGTTGAATAGTTTTGATATTATTCAATTTTCAGACTGTTTCATTCAGCGCTGGGGCCCCGGTCACTTCCATCATAGAAATGGCCATATCTTACAATTAAGAATACCTAGCAATGTTTACAGACACTGGTTTGTTATGGATAGGATCAGCAGATTTACAGGTGGGTATAACACTGTTACACTGTTCAGCCCGCAAATCCAGCTATCAGAGGACGAGTTCCAGTAGCTAACACCGAATTGACTCGGATTCTTAGAAAATGAGAACGAATGGCGGTCTAATTCAACTGGCAGAACTAACTTTGATTCTTTACCCAGGTTTGAAGAAGGCGTGTAAAAAGGCTTTTGTTTATACTAGTCGGATTTGAGGTATCTTTTCTTGTAACAAATAAAGACCCGTATCTGCCTAAGTTCTCCATGGTGGGATATCATCATTAATTTAGTTTAGCCTCTTCTTCCTCGGAAACCTTGCAAACACAATTAATATTTTTCATGTGATCGCAAAGTTGATTTTTATTGTGTTCATTTAACTTGCTGACATCTCCGCAAAGCGAGTAAGCTTAGCAACCCGGACCGCTAGGTCAGGCCCTGAAGAGCTCAACTTAAGTACGCCTGTATTTTGCAGTTCTTTGAATTTTGTAGTTATTGTTGTATTTCTGTCTTCTTTAGAAAGTCTACTGTGAGTTCAACACGTCTTGTCCATCAAGACCCAAGCAACTAACCTGGTAAGGAGGGAGCAATTGTTGTTTCTAGAATGAAGGCTCTCGTCTTTTATGGCGAATTCTCGCCCGGTTGGCCGGGCCATTCTTTTGAATACAAACTAAGAGCCCTCGGAATTTTTTTTTCTTCCGCCACCCATCTAGCGATGTGTCGCCACAACGTGGTGCTTAAACTGATCTCCTGACCTGTACTCAGAGAGTAATCTGTCGCCGACACGTGTTGCTGCAACTCGTCTCCTTGTGTGTTCCGATCTTTACTTATTTCAACTTACCTTACAGGTGTGCAATGGGTGCTGTCATATGTTACTGGGACGATTATTTGGATGTTGTTGGACCTACAATGGACACTATTAGATATCCTTTGATTAACAAGATCATTCTTTATCATGATCCGACTAGCTTTCCAACTATTTACGGGGCAAGCTGTCTAACTGTTAGAGCATGCTAGAATTAAAAATTGTTCTTGTTGTTGTTGTAAATGTTGGCTTGGCCAAGTTGTTAATTGTGCTGTCATGCTGCAATTATATATTGATCGTGTTACTAAAAACACCCTTGATTTGAACTGACAATTGTTACTAGTGTAGTTTAATTTTTTCTGTTACTGCCGTAGAATATTGGAAATTTTAAGATATGAGTAGTTTTTTTCTTTCATTGAACACGCTATTGCCATATATTTAACAATTACTCCACGAGTGCGCGTTGAATATGAGTGGAATAATTGTTTATTAAAAACGCCCACAAAATATGGTGAATTCTTCCCGACTTTATTTGTAAGAACAACCGATTTTCAATTTTTGGTATATGGTTCATATACCATGATGGTTAAGCCAATCTGAGGTCTTTAATTGTATTGTCCAATGGTTCAGTTTTAATAAATATGCATATGCTACGGATAGCACACTTTCTTAACATATTTCACATATCAGATGGACAGTGCTGTTCATTTAGTTCAAGAGTTAGATGGCGTAAGAATCATTGGTAACGAGACTCATGAACTGCTTCAGCGAGTTCCAGGTTGGTAAATATGATTACGTTGATTGCGGGCGGTTTCTCCTCCTGGCAAAACCTCCCTAGCAACGAGGAGCAAGGTGAAACCGCTGTATTAGCAGACTACAAGTGAAAGGTTTCAAAATGCTCGCAGATATTCTGTCTTGTTCTCGATTCATAAAGCTATCGAAATATAGCCTAAAATAACAATCCCTGTTGGTGGCCGGGATGTCCTTGAGATTTATTTCTTCTCTACAGATATTTGATGCTTTTCCAAATTAAAACGTGTCGTTATCTGTAGGTGCTTAAAGCGAAATAAAATCTCGAGACTGTTGACTTAAACCTTCAGCTCAGTGTGGTCTTGCTGTGGCTCGTGTATGATTTTTCAACTTACTCCCCGGAAGCAGATTGGACTGACTCTACATTCAGTATTCCCCCCCCTCCAAAGAAAATAGGTACCCTGTTGTCACGAACAAGCAAAAAGCCCTAAACTTTATTCCAGTGACTTGTTCAATCGGTTCACGGTCGAGTCGCCCGAAATCATGGTCATGTCGCCCGATATCTTGAGTCATGTCGCTTGAAGTAAACATCTATATTTGCGTCTTTGTTTAACTTCACATTTGCGTAGGTTACCGGACACAGTTGAGTCTACATTGTTCGACTAAACTCCTTGCGATATACTTCAGATATTACTTTTCTTCAAGTCTATACACTCGATAAAATTTTGGGCGACATGACTTAGGATTTCGGGCGACATGACTCTGGTTTCGGGCGATATGACTTTCGGGCGACTTGACCGGTTACCGTTAAACCAGAACCACTTCTAATCACGAATGTGAATAATTATGTCCGATACTAGAGCAACTATTTCTTTTCATCTTTCAGCTGCTGTGGAACAAGTGTTTAAAATCGGCTCAATGGAACCAGGTGCGATGCTGTTTGATGCATCAAAGGAATTTGAGGTAAGCAATGCTTCACTCTCTCTGGGAAAAAGTTGTCCCAGATAAAAGGCTCAGCCGCCTACCCAAGCCAGTGGCGGATCCAGGGGAGGGGTCAGGATCCTGGGGTGGGACCGCACCCCCTTATCTCAGGGGTCTGAATAACAGGGCTCCCCCTTATCTGCAGGTCTGGACCCTCCACTGCGAGCCACCCTGGGCAGCCTGTTGTTGGGTGACCTGTTTTCCTTGGTAAGGTCACCATCCTAGCTGAGCCAACTTTTCTCCATCTAATAAAAAATAATCAACTTTATTTATATAGCGCTATTTCAGTCCAAAACCTCAATAGCGCTTTACAGAATTCGTAAGAAAGAACAATAATGAACAGTAATGAAGAAAAACATAGCATGATAATAAAAAGAATACCTGACGAACAACCTTAAAGTTTCAACTTAAAGATTCTAAACTGCACCAAAAACTAAATCCCTAAAAATTAAACTGTCGTTATGATTCTTTCGTGTATATTCCTGTAAACAGAAAAAGAGCGCCCGAGCAGAGGACTACATTCGGATGATCAAAGAACGTCTTCCTGAGGCTGTCCAGCAATGTATCCACGCCGCTGCCGGGGAACATGAGCCTGCAATACAAAGAGGACTGCTGAGGGTGAGTATAGTTTCGGAAGTAGTCATGGTAACCACATGATCCTTACGTTCAGTTGCTACGTTTCGATTTTCACAGCAACCCGCCCCCAGGGGGTGGGGGAGTTGTTGACAAGTTTAAGTTTTCTTACACGGTGATTGGTGCTCTGTTAACCGCCAGATAAATTTAGCATTGTTTGAAAAAATACATTATCTGTCTTCCTTGGCAAAATCACCACCTCCTACTGAAAAAGTTTTAGTTAATCTGCTGAAGTTCCTTCAAATTCACTTTGGCATAAATCGTTGAACGTGATGCCGTGAAAAGAAAATCTGTACTCAGTATATCTGGGTAATTTGAACTGAAAGCGAAAGAGCGCACATAGTTCGTCCATTATGTTTCTATTTGAGGAGTGTAGTAAGAGACATAAAGTACTTCATTAATGCTTTCGACGAACGCGTCAGTCAGTGATTTTTCAGTTATACAGGATGAATTGAAAGTATAGCAAATCTCAGCGAGAGGTCAACATTCGCCGATAACACTGCTCTCTTACCATCTACCAAGCGAGGTTTGCAACGTCGCTTGGTCAGAGATTTGAGGGGGGAAATAGTTCTCGTGTAACATGTCATGTGTCCTCGTAGTAACCAATAAGAGCGCTCCGGCGGTCGATGCCCATAGTGTAACCGTTTTTTTACTGATCTCCGCTGTAATCTTTTCTTCTCTTTGCTAGGCTTCTTCCTTTGGTAAGAGTATTTTAACTGATATGCCGCCACACGCGTTTGTTTCGATGTGCCGGAATCTTAGAGTGTTAAACGCCGTGCGGGACTACATGGTTGGAATTCCACTCACATATGGACAGTATCCTTATCCTTATCATTTTGCTTTTTTGTCCTCTGAGAGTACTCTTTGATTATTTTTCAAAAATTATCCAATTTTGATGCCTTGACGATCGTCTTAGACGTGTACGACTCACGAAAAGAACTCAGGAGAAACTGTTCGCCGATTGAGCACAATAATACAAAGCATTTTTTGTGCCCAATCAGGAGCCGGTATCCGCTTGAATTTTTGGAAATAGTTCGGTGAGAGTCGGGTACCCAGGGGCTCTTTCGCCCGTACTTGAAAAAGTTCGTCCCATCTTTTCTCCCGACCCGACTGACTTCCCCTGGGTCTCCGAGGATGCCTCCCCCTCTACTCTCGTTTTTGCACCTGTTACGCAAACTGCCGCGCAGGCTATTGTGAAACCTATATATTCACTTTGACATGACTGTGATTTGACTGCAGTACTGTAAGGATCAGGATCGCCGTACACTTGTGGACCTGTTCTACCAGGAAGACCAGTTTATGAACAGTGGTAATGCCTTTGTGCAGGACAGCTATAGCGAGAAGGGATCATATAAAGTAGTTTGAATGCTATCATGCTTAGGAGGGGATCTGGTCGAATGTTGTTTTATAATTTCAGTCCTGAGCAAAGGGGTGCTTACGCTTCACTCCGTTTCTTCATGGCGTCATAGATTATTTTTGTTTCCGTGACTGTAGGTGACTACAAAGCTCCCCTCAACCTCATTGCCGGGACGTTTTCCGGTTAGAAAATGGGATAAACCCCTGTGAACGAATGGTCGGCAGCAATCTTGTTTATCTTGAGCGTCAAGAAGAGCCAAGAATACGTGTAGCAACTCTTATTTGTAATTTAACTCTCACATTTCTCTGTTTAAACCCGAAACCTTTACCAAAATTCGTTCTAATCATAACCAGTGATATCTACTACACATGCGCTAATTGTTGCCGTCCATTTCTTCGTTGTAAATAGTGGCCCTCAATACATACAGCGACCACGTGACCAGGGGAGACATAAGACTACAAGTTATCTGTTATTTTTTTACAGGGATCGTACAGCGAACAAAGCGCGCGCGCCTGAAAATCGCAGCTCTGCAGTAAAGGCCGTCACGCGAAGGGTTGATTGTTTAGTTGCGTAACGCCTTCCGGTCTCTCTCCCAATCTACTCCGCAGAGCTTTTACTAGCCTTGTCTGGCGGAGCGGTTACTTTAAGTCGTAAACCAAAAGGATCACATCCTTGGAAAAGAGATTGGCGCTCACCTTATTATTAATTCGTTATCTATGAAAAGTTGCCGGCCATAGAATAGAATCATCGTTTTGATATCTCTTGTCAGTACACTTGACATAAAATCTGATTTTCTTCTTATTTAGACAATAGAATCCAAGATGAACACATTGTCCAAAGCACAGACGTCTTACCAGCAAGGAGGATTTTAGTTCTACTCAAAGGTGTGTGCTCTCCACTTTGTTGATTTGATTTAAAATACTTCAAACTCCTTCAAAGCTAGAGCCACTCATTCCTTACTATGTGGAGAAACAGAAGACGGACGTTATGTCTTGTCTAGTATTAAAGGATACGGGATAAACTTGCGACATTCGAACCAAAAGCATCCAGAAACTCTCCACTCCTCTCGCTGTGTTTGATTAACAAATACCTTGACTGTGCTCTGAACTGATATAAATTACGCAGGAGGAAGCGCCGGGCTAGTGTACGAAAGGCCGAGTGTAGGGGGACGCACAAGACTTAGTCGAGAGTGTTTATCCCTACTTCTTTAGTGCTTTGTAACATAACAAAGCACAGTAAAGATGTTTCTCTACTAGTTTTATGATAAAGAATCCCTTAAATTCGCCACACATTACATTCTAATTTTCAAAACAAGCTTTTGGCAGATGACGTGAAAGCTTAAGCTCCGTGTTTTTTACCTTGATAAACACGCTTTGTCATCCAATCAGAGTGCGCGTTAAAAGAGTGTTTTCACATGACTTTATGGCGGCCATATTGGTGTCCCAAACCAATTCTCTGGGAGTTGAACTCTTTTCTCTTTTGTATGCAAACGCTATCTTTTGTTCCAACAAATTTGCATGGATGCTGGTCAGGTGAGTGAAAACACTCTATATCTGAACAATATTATAAATATTAACAAAACATTTCTTATCAGTGATGCATTGTATGCACGCACGATTCAATTTTCCAGGCAACAGAAGAACAAATGAAACTCATGGAATATCAAGTCAAACTAGAAGAGAAGTACAGAAAGACATTTATGGATCTGTCCTTGAGTGATACTATCTACCAGGTGCGATCAGTAACACACTCAACTGTGTTAGCCTTTATTGTGGATTGAGGCCGGTTAACTGACCACCTACCCCTCCCCTAAGTCAAAATTAACCCCTACTTCTTATTTAGTGACAAATTGTAACTTAAGGGAGGGGTAGATAGTCAGTTACTCAAAAATCTCAAGTGATCCAAAAATCGTCTGAACCGTAGCTCTCGTTTGAATGATCAAAATTAAGATCTCATCAATATGCTTAATAAACAGCACTGCTGGAAATCTCTGCCAAGTACAAGCTTTTATTCGAATGGCCATACTAAAAGATTGCATCTACAGAATCAAATGTTAGAACTTGAAATCAACAGTTTATGCAGGAAATCTCTGTTCAGTAGCTTTCGTTCGAATTGTTGTTCTTAGAGGTTTTATCCAGACTTAAAGTAATTAAAACCACCTTGCAAAGCACAGTAAACCGGTGTAGAACGTGCTATTAAGTAGCTTTCTTGAATGTCAATTAATTCCCACACACTATCATACTGGGGTTTGTTTCTAAGGATTACTTTATACTTTTTCAGTGCATACTTCAAGGAGACCTAAAAGTCGCTGAGCAACTGAAAACAGCTGTGAAAAAGGAATTCCAAGGTTCCGGAAAAAAGGTTTGTAAAATCTTTTTTTTTTTTTATTTTTTTATTTTTATCAGAGACCGCGTAAACAACGAGACCTTTGACATCCAAGTACTCTTTTTTAAAACAGCCTCTAGGTGCACCACGTTAAGCTAAGGCTTGCTTCTTCACACAGCTGATTTGTAGCCTGTGCATTTGAAGGGGAAGAGAAATGTGGGAATCAGGGCGCGTGAGGGAGGAGGAAAGAAAGGGTTTCCGTCCTTTCATATCCTCACGCGTCCATCGTGTTCTCGTTCGCGTTCTCAGCCCGTTATAGAAATAGCCTTTAGTTGCACCATGTAGTGTTAAGTTTTGTTTGTTCACCCCCCTGATTTGTAGCCTGTGTCAAACATTTGAAAGGGAGTAAAGGACCGCCGGATCGCAAGTTAGGTTTTCCCGAAACCGGAAACGGCTTTGTACCAGAGTCGAACCTCTACAACGGCTTCCTTTAGAGAAAAGTGCCTTTTCTAGAGGAGTTGCCATTGTGGGGAATAAGGGGGCATCTCGGAACACTCCGGATACCCCCGGAACATCCCCCGGAACCTGGCAGTAAGTAAAATGAAAAACACAAAAGAAACCCTAACCCCACTGTGTAAGATATTAAATGTTCAAGAGTGAATGTACGAACTGTCTGCCGGAATAAACATGATGGTCGTCTTGGAAAGACATCGGTATTTATCAAAAAGCATTTATTTCTTTTTTTATTTTTAAAGACTACGTTCATGAGTTTCCATAACTCAGTGAAACATTGTGAATAAACATTCCAGTGTGCAGACGCTGTAAATTTTATATACATTGGTCTTTTACAGCCATTTTTTGAAGCTTGCCTGGAATCCAGCAACAGATCAGAATAGAGGCGGAGAAATATGTCTCCAGAGTTCTTCCCGGGTGAGTTTATTGAAGTTTTTACTGTGCTTAAAGTGCTGACTAAACAAACTTGCCTTTTGTAGTGGCACTTGTGTTGCACCTATGCCGATCATCCTTTCACCCCAGAACCAAGAAGCGCGCACTGAATCCGCTGACCACAAAACGCTGTGCGTATACAAATTCGTAAGTGATTGGGAACAATAACTCGAGTTCTGCACTGCTAATTGATGCTACCCTGAGAAAATAGCTGACATTTTGTGACATCATCACTGGTTTCCTCGCGAACTGCTCTGAAGAATGTTCGCAGATATTCCATACTGATATGACATGTAGCTTTCTATCAGTAAAAACAAAATTGACTGGTTTGTTGGCTAAGACTCGTGTTTTTATTTCTTTGATTTTGATTTAAATATTTGATTTCGGGCCCGAAACGTTACCGGGACTTTCGAGAAACGAGTTAATCATGTTCCACCTATTTATAAACGACATTTTAATTTTTGTCCCAGGAAATACGAAGATGCGGCGGAAACAGCTTTTGCTCAGAAAAGTGAGGAGGGCCTGGATCTAGTCCTTGGAAAATGTGCAACTTCAAATCGTCCGTTGGTGAACCGCATTCAAGAAATGAAGGCTCAATTGCAGCAAAGACGATAAAATTCACAGATGGATTGAAATCTTAACTGCTCAGTCGAAGTTCTCAGTAAAAGCCTTACTAGGATGTATTTTGAGCAAGTTTCGTCTCACCAAGCGCACCTTGCGAGTTCATGGAAACCGAGTTCATGTTAATTGGATCTAGGTAGAGACTAAGTACTGTGACACTTTCCCCAACCATTGCAATTAATGATTTTCGAGTTACCCAAGTCGCTACTTCTAAATCTCTTGGAGTGACCATCGATGATAATCGCGATTGGTGTAGCCATATGGGGAAGATAATGAAGAAAGTATCTTCTGGCATCGGGGCCCATAAAGAGAGTAAGGCGCGTTGTCCCCCAGGCGACCTTAGAACTAATTTACCAAGCTCTTATTCACCCTCACTTTAATTATTGCAATACTGTTTGTGCCGGAAACTGTGGGATAACCTTAAGGAACAAACTTCAAAAACTACAAAATAGAGCAGCCCGTGTTTTGACATTTTCAGACTACGATGAAGACGCTGGTTGCCTGTTTGAACTCGTAGGATGGAAAAATCTAGCGCGCCAGCATGAAATGAACAAGCCACGATGGTTTGTAAGTCTTTACACGGGTTGGCTCCAGAATATTTATGTTCTAGGTTTGCAATACGAGAAACGGCATATAACCATGGGGACTCTGAGAATAAAATTTGCATCCCTTTACCACGGACAAATTATTACAACAATAGCTTTAGCTATAGTGGCGCCATCCTATGGAACAAACTCCCGTGTAATGTGAGGCAAGCAGAGTCCCTTACGAAATTCAAATGTCTTCTTAAACAAGTACTCAAGGGCACGGCATTCATGGAAAGCAGCTTTTTCTTTAATGTTTTTTATAATGGAGATAGTTTATAATGTTTTCTTATTTGAATTGTAATGAATTGCATCTACCTATATCTACCTTTTTATCATGTTTCTATCTATCTACCTACCTACCTACCTCCGTGGCTGAGCCTCGGGTTCCGTTTTACCACACACGGACAAGATTACAAGATCTTATGCTATGACGGTGGCCGTTTCGATACAAAATTGTTTCAATACAAGTAAATTTGCTGGTCAAAATGATCTTCCTGGAAAACTACCTAATAAAGGTTTTGATGCAAATTACTTAGTGTTGCCGCCGTAGCACATGTGTGTTATTGGCACACAGGATTGTTGATTGTGTACTGGCCAATCACAATAAAGTAAGCAAAGCAAGCAAACCTCAAAACTACAAACTAATTACCATTACTGTTTGCGTTTTAGTTATCTCGCGCCTTATTGGCTAATTTCTGGCACCACAATAACTTTCCTTAAATATTTCTTGTGTTCACGGTTTTGTGAGTTTCACAGTAAAAATTCGTTATTTCTCACCTTTAACTACTGCACATATAACATAAAACCCTTTTCAAGTGGTGAAAATTGTGAAATATCTGAAGATCAATATTATTTAAGGTTTTCTTTTATCGTTTGTTTCACGATAGTCGAATTACGATTTTCCGAGCGGGACTATTAGTAAACCCCTGTAGTTCTTAGTGATTGGTGTATCACGAACCTCACCCAGGACATGGTTGGTAGGGTTCGATCTAAAGCATTGTTGGCATTAGAGGAGGTGACTGTTCCTTCAGCGGTCCGCTGTCCTGTTGTACTTATCGGTGTCTGACTGCAGGCATCGTCATATCAGGATTCTCAATTCCACTCTCCCTATTGATGCTGTTAAGCGTTTCTTTACCCCTCCGAGAGTACCAGAGAGGGTCGTTGTATTTACTGTTAAAAATGACCTCGTCCCAGAGCTGATAATGCCTCGTCTTATTGGCGTGTCCAGAAACGGCTTGAAGTTTAAGTTCGTGAAAGCGGTACCTATGTCCCTATGGTGCTCCCTTTCCCATTACAGGGAAGACCTTTCCAATTACAACACCAGAAATATTTATGGAATGTTATTGTGTTGCGAGAAATTACCCGATAAGGCGCGAGGTAACTAAACCGCAAACACCAATGGCCGTGAATTAGTTTGTGGTTTTGAGGATTCCTTTCGTATCCTAAACGTTATTGTGATTGGCCGCACAGGGTTAGCTCAGTCGGTAGAGCGCTTGACTGCGGAGCGGGAGGTCGCGGGTTCGATTCCCGGGGGCGGACCAATACTCAAGGTCTTAGGGCCTGTTTACATGGAGGTGGGGGACCCCAGGTAGGTGAGGTAACCCGCTTAGGTGAGGTAACCCGCCTGTCCATATAATCTCTCATTTTCATTTGATCACGTTTACATGATAGGTGGGGTGACCCGCCAAGGCGGGTAGCCCGGTCTACCAGACCGGGTTACCCTCTCAGCCGGGGTCACAATTTGTCATGTAAACGTTTCAAGGTGGGGTAACCCGCCTGGCCGGGGTCGGATTCGTGATACATCAAATTCGCGCAAAATTCACTTTCGCGGTGTCTTTGCATTATGATTAAAGTTAACAATAGAAAGCTATTGCACTGACGGGTTGCAGCAAGAGCAACAAGTGAGTGAAAAAGTGCATTAATCGCCAAAACTCGTGGTTTGCCAGCATTTTTCTTGTTTACGTGCTTAGCGACCATTCAATAATCTTGAGAAAGTGCACCCCGGGAAGGCGGGGTTGTAAGATTGCATGTAAAGGCGGGTTATTTTTTTACCTCACCTAAGCGGGTTACCTCACCTACCTGGGGTCCCCCACCTCCATGTAAACAGGCCCTTAAAATAACTGAGAAATGAAGGTACTCTTTTAACCTGTAAGCGGCTAGACCTTCGCGTGGCTCGGATGACCACGTAAAATGGCGGTCCCGTGTAAAAATAGTGTCCCCAAATAGTACTTTCCTGCTAAATACATTGACACTCAAATAAAGTGCATTTTTTTTTCGCTCGTACACAATCAACTTTCCTGAAATTTTTCATGTGGTCACGGTTTTCTGAGTTTGACAGTAATCTAGTCCGCTCGGGATTTCCTGCGGGGATCGCACCTTATTTTTAGGCCTCAGCTCAAACCTGCAGCCCCCATTCCCTCCCCCACCCCCGTTTATCTTAGGTCTGGATGGGCGGTGCCCCACTTCCTAGAACATCTGTATCCGCCAGAAAGTCTCATTGTACCTTTTTTTTCACCTGAGAAGTTAGCACGGTCACTTACTTCAGCATCTGAATCCGCCAGTGGGGAGTTCGTATCAATCTGACTACCAGTGTATTCTGCCATTTTCCTGACCACCCACGAGAAAGGTGGCGCGCGAAAGAAAGAGAGCACCACGCGCGGGTCACCTGTCCTCGCGGGTGGCAATTTTCATTAATGGTGCGTTCACAAAACTAACCAGGTTTAAGGGACCGGTCATTGTTTATCGCCGGGGGAAGGATTTGGGGCAAAACAAGCTGAAATTTAGCCGATATCCCCTTTGAATGTTACTTCACTGAAGTGATCCCCCTAACAACTTTTGATGACTTTCGCAATCCCCCCCCCCCCCCGTCTTCATTTTCCAAGCAAATTTGAGTGATCCCTCCTCTGAATTCTTCCGAAGTTTTCAGAGATCCCGGCTTTTCGGTTCTCAGTTACGACTGATCCCCCTTTTGTTCTCCCAAAAATCTAGTGATCCCCCCTAAAATTCCCCTCCTCCCCCCGGCAATAAAATAATGACCGGTCCCTAACCCATATATTGCTGGTTTGCACGTGTCGTCACGGCGGCCATGTTGGTGGTCAAGAACAAAAGCATTTCTCTCCTCGGGGAACTAAACTCTATTTTCATGTAAATTCTTCGAGGAAATATTCTTTTGTTTTGACCCCCAACATGGCCGCCTTGTCACGTGGTTGCAAACCAAGAATAGTGTACATAGCAAGACCTGAACCCAGGCCAAATTGACAAGAGTCGAGTGCTCTGACCACTGCCTCACCCCTCCCCCCTGTGTTCAGTTCAAAACAAAAAACCCATGTATTTTATAAAAAAGTAAACCAGTAACACATTTAATTTTATTGCAAATAAAACATAGGAATTAGCAAAATAACAATGCTATTACAATGCTACAGTTCAGTCATGATAAAAATACAATGTAAATGTTGAAAAAAATTAAGACGGAATCCACCAGGATTAATTGAGTAATTTTGATCTTCAGAGGACAAAAATCTTGTACCATAATGATTTAAAGCATACTGCATTCTTTCTTACATTTTTCAAGGGCTAAAGATGTAATAAATCATCTGTAGTAAAACCAAAAAATGTGGGAGCCCGAGAAAAAGAATGTCAAATTTCACGGAATCACATCTTACACATGAAATTTTCAGAATTTTAAATGTGTAATCACAATTCTCGTGAAAGTTGACGTTCATTTTCTCGGACTTCCATGAGAAATTTTCTTTAGTGTTACTACAGATGATTTATTACATCTTCAGACCTTGAAAAATGTAAAAAAAAGAATCCAAAATTCTTTAAATTACTCTGTTTTTTTGGTTTTTGTCCACTGAAAATTAAAGTCACTCAATTTCCTAGTGGATTCCGTCTTAAATTATCGGTATGCCTATGTAGAAATTCATTTTTTCATCCTTGGTTCATTTTATTTAAGAAACAAAAAGAACTTGTAGCCCGCACTGCAGCTGGTGGTTTGTTTGCTGTGTGCACTGGGTGTTGTTCTCGTTTGTAGTTTGTAAAGTGAGAGATGTCTCTCAAACACCCCAAAATAAACCAGCAGCTAGTCTACGTAGGTTAAAGAACTTGTTGATCACAAACTTTGTATTGTTTCATTAAAACATTGAAACCCCTAACAATTTCCAGCCATTGTGACCTACTTACGCTTGGGCACTATTAATAAGGTGGCATATTTACAAAGCTTTCCATTTATAAACCCACAAAGGGCTAACTGACTAATTAAGAGATAAGAAATATTAACTCCATTTATGTACATGTAGCTTTCTGTTAAACACACAAAGGCAACTTTAACTCATAATTTGTGGTCCAAAGTTTGCATAATCTGGACACAAAAACCAACTTACGACCTGTTCCCTTAAAGGCCACTTT